ACACTTAAGTTGTTGAAAAAGTTATAATAGTCCTCGTTTTCTGTATTTTCAACAAAACAGCACCAAATCAAATCATGGTTACGACATGTCTGCTGACATCAATCACGGGAAGTGATATTGGTTTTGATGACAAATGTTATCTGTCTCAATAATCAGAGTGCCATTTATTCCATTATTTCATCAGGTGATGAGTGGGAACAGGGAAGACATAAGCTTGCTACATATGATTTGTTACTCAATCTAACCAAGCTTACCAACAAAGCAAAAATTGTTCACATAGACAAAATATGAAGCAACAAAATTCACAAAACTCAATGAACCAATACTCCTAAAGACCCAGCTGAAATGAAACTTGAGAGACAATATCTTTCGTGTAAACTTAAGACTGATAAACATAGTCTGACTTAGTAATTGAAGGCAGACAGAGACATGGATAAAGCACAAAAAAAGAAATAGTAGAAGCATCGTTGTTCTAAAGGAAATCAGCAGATTTTCTTACTGAATGAAGAGCAAGTGAGTTCAAGTACCAGAAACCAAATAAATAGAAAATGATTGTGGAACTAGTTGGTCACATCTAAGCTCAGATTCATTTTACCTTGAAAACATTGGGAAGCTGACGATGAAGTATATTGCGTAGAACAAAGAACCTACTTTGTACATTATATCCCGGTCAACGAATTCATAGTATGGGAACTGCAAAAGTCCACGCAGAATATCAGCCATGAACATGTGGAAACAAAAACAGAGAAAGCGATGGACAGTTACATATATATATATACTGACATCAAAAATGGAAAACTTGGCTTCTTAGATAGGATTGATGAAATGTGAAAAGTAAGATCAGTTGTATTTCTTATCAATTACCTCAAGTCCTCAACTATTCCCGGAAATAAAATGTATTGAACAAGCAACGCGTACTTGCTCAAAATCTGGTCAGATTTGAATAATTGAATATTTATCCTAGATTTGGTATATATAGTTAATCCCAAATAATCCTGATTCTTTCATCGTCGACTGAATATTTCAATATTTGCATGTATTGTGCAGGTTACCACCTTAAAGCTATTGTTTCTCACTTGACTAATAGGAAGGATGTCATGCTGAAAAAAATTATTAGATGGGTGCTCTCAATTATTTGAACTCTATGTCTATAGTTGCATGATCTTATGATAATACACCTAGTACTGTAGTACGATAATTTTCAAGTTTTCTTGGAGTGTGACAATGGTCAAATGAAACTAACACATTGCTCTCACAAAACAGAATTGAATGTAGCATATTATGCAAAAGATTGCAACTGATGGCACCTCCACATGACTTATTCAGATAACGAGTCCTAAAAACTATGGATTATCTACAAGTGTTAATGACTAGGTATGTCTAAATGCCCTGAAATGTCTACCAGGTCCAGCATGTCAACATCAACACTAATTTGCAAATGCCCAATGAACTAAACAAGGGATATGCAACATTACTGCTACAAATTGGGGTGAGCATTAAACTATTTAGTGTAATAAGGCATTAATTTTTCAAACTTTCTATATAAAAGGAAAACTGATCGTACTAGAATTAGAAAGTGGAAAGTTAAATATAAGCAAGAACATACATTTGCAATGGCTAGGGTCTCCAGGTACGCTATGAAGTATGACAGCACTAAAATCCATGCTGCTTCAAATAACCAGCGAATAGACTGTGGTAAGTGAGCTGTAGAGTGACGTAATCTACGGAGTGTCATATTTGATGCCATATGATAGAACAGGAAACAAGCATGGGTCAGGAGAAACGTCGTATGGGGTACCTGAAACATGAAAGTAATTAAAAAATCATAAATAACACTGCAACTGTGATCAATCATTAACTCAGAAAAAATGGGAACAAGGTTCTTGGACACATTTTTCTTTCTTTCTAAAACGATTGCAGAACATACATGCTAGCTCAACTATCTAGTTTCTATTGTCAGTTTTTCCGAAAGCTTGGATTCAGATTCTGAAACCAGAGTGGTTCCACATACCATTTTCTGTCATTTACTGAAAGTAAGAAACAGGAACATATCATCCCAAACCTTGTTATAAAAAAATATGATAATTAAACTAATAATCCAGTTACTCCAAATTGTGATGTGATCAAGGTAACCGATTTCCCCTGTTCCACAACCATCCTGGATCTTCCTTATCAATAAAATAATAACAATAACTTTTCTATTCAATTTTATCCAAGTAGACCTTAAGAACAGCACCAACAAGTATTGGTAGTACATATTCATCTATTACTATGACATCACATCAAATTTCAACAGAATGAATTGGCTGGAATTTATCTAAGACAGAAAATTCAGTTTAATTGCGGTGACGCAGGATTGCAAACATGAAACCTCTAGTTGTACTATCAAATGCAAGTTGGAACACATGACAACAAGTTGCAGTACTTGTAACTGTGCATCTGCATAACAAAGATGCCACTCAAAATATGGGAGAACATCTACAAGAACAACTAGAAGCCATCAAGTCTTACATTATTCATCCTCCATGATGGAAAAGTATATGATGCACCAAGAACTGTGAAGAAGTAATGTGTCCAGAAGTAGTTACCAACATAGCTAAAAATTATAATCCAAATATTAGCCTGCAATGGTAAGATGTGTTTTGAATTTAGCAAATGGTTTTCAAAAGATAAACTGAACCAACAAATCTCACTAGTAAAAGGAAATCCATAAACAATTGAGAAGTACATGTCTAGTTCTTTATATTGGTAGCTTGCTACAGAATTGTTAGAGTAGCTGCACACTGAATTCAAATCATAATGATTTTAAAAGTCCCAATTCATCGGAGACAAATTGGTAAATTTCCCAAATTTGCCACATAGTTCTTCTGCACTCACTAGGTGAAATTAATTAAAACTCATTAAAGTTAACTCGCTGAATATTTTAGGATCTGATGTACGGCAACAAATATAATTTATACAATGTCGAGCTATTCCATGAAAATAATTATTTAATATTTATAAACCTAAAATGTCGAAAATGATTCACAGATGAAAATAATTACCTTGACCCAGTATTGATCTTTCAAATTTCTCACACTATCTGCCTGAAAAGTGAAGTTAACGATAAATTAGATTCTGAACATATGAATTCGCTTTATATTAAGAAGAAAGGTTCGTATTAAATAAATAATATTAAGAAAATGGCTGCATTTTTAATACAAAAATGAATGGCAACATCTTTTAGGGAACCAAAGAAAGTCAAACACCAGTTTTCTTTTAATCTCCAAAATGATAGCCAGCATGTAAGCTGGAAGCAAAGTACTGGTACAACAGAACAAAGGACACTATTCAGACATATGAAACATGACCTTGTATGAATTATATAAATCACCCATAAGGTTGTCTTGACAAATCACAAAAATGAACCTGTTTTGATACATGATTAAAAATAACAGGTGCTATCAAAGGTGAAAAGAAGAGCACATGACCGGCAGCATCAACACAGGCATGCCACAGGGCTTGTGGCTGACAGATGCAGCACGTCTCAGGTCAGAGGGGAAAAAATAGCAAAGAGGGCCCATACTGGAGTGGGCTTAAATCTAATGATCTTCCAGCAATAGAGCATCATGTATCTTGCCCTCTCTCCACGTACCAGTCTGCTATTCCTTTCCATCTCACATTTCTCACCTAATGGTAGATGGTTGATACATTAGCAAAATGTCAACACCAGCAGTGTCCCTTCACTGGTGTGGATTACAGACAAATCACATGTGTACCCTACCTTATAGTTTGAAGAATTAACATAAAGCATGCATATTTAATGACCTTACGTGTACCCTACCTTATAGTTTGAAGAATTAACATAAAGCATGCATATTTAATGACCTTACTTTGAACAGAAAAGAGAAAAGCATACATATGTTGGCGAGATGAGCAGCCAGCCGAGGGAACAGAACAGGAGGGTGGAATTTATTTATGGATTACCTTCCCTACGAGGAAGAGGGGGATGACGAACGCCGGCACGGTGGACACCAAGCCAAGGATCAAGGTACTCCAGCTCCGTGAACCTCTACACATGGCACAAGAAGCCAAGAATGGGCAGAAAGATAATGAATTAATAGTTTATTCACGCAACGCAACAGCACATCCTGATCTCGTGATCGTGGCCACATTGTGCTCGTCGAGATCCGGTAGATCCAATCGAGAACCCGATCGACGGACCGACCAACAAGGCAACAACCAACCGAGAATCATGCGGGTCTAGATGAACACAAGATGATGAGACGGAGGAGCAGCAAGCACCTCGTAGAGCTTGAAGGGGACGACGCCGCCGAGGCAGAGCGTGAGCCAGAAGGGCGTGTAGAGCAGGAAGAAGGCCTCCCCCCAGCGCTTGCTCCCGTCCGCCGCCAGCCACGCGCTCCTCCTCCCAGCGCCGCCGCCGCCCCTGGGCTTCGCCACCGGCCGCCGCGCAGCTGCGAGAGGGAGGAGAGGAGAACCTCGTCAGATACGCGGAGGCCCACCGCTCCCGTAAGCACGCGCGCGGGACGCACCTGCCATTGGCGGGCTGGTTCCGCTTGCACCGCCCTCCCGCAGGAGTCAGGACGCCGGCCGAGCCGCCGAGGGATGGGGATCGGACCGGAGCCGAGGTGCGGACGCCTGTCGGGGCGTCGGGCTGCGTGCGGCCAGCGGGAGTGTGAGTGGGAGTGGGGGCGGGGGAAGGGGACAAGAGGCTTCTGAGTTCTGATGATAGAGACTACAGATAGGCCTTCCCGCGCGTGGCGCTCGATTGCCCTGCGTGCATGGGCCGACCCAATCCGCCTCACGAGTAACCATTGCAATTGGGCTGAGCTCTTGCCCAGGTCTTCTGGGCCCAACAGTATCTTATTAGAGAGTAAAATTCCGGGTCATGGCTTTGGATTGGAGGCCTGGCTCACGAGACGAAAGCACCTTATCCATTTCGTCTCCCGCGCGTCCCCCTCTGCCCGGCGGACGACGGCACCTTGGACCGGCCAGCGGCCATGGCGCCGTTCGTGTCCAAGCTGATCTCGCCGCCTCCGTGCCACTCCACCTCCACCTGGAGCCGCCGCCTCCTTCCCAATCCGAGCCCGGCCGGCTGTCGAATCGCGCCGCCGCCGCCGCCCAGGTACCGTGCGCGCGCCCCATGCCCTGCTCCTTCCTCTGTCCACCCTACTCTTGCAACCTAACCCACCCCAGGAGCCGATCGTGCAAACTCACCGGGGACCTCTGTATGCGCGCCTGTTGCCGTCGCGCGTGCAGCCTGAGTCCAGCGAGGCGCTTCGCCCCGAGCTGCGCCTCCGCGTCAGACCGTGCCGGCGCGACGACGGCGGACCTGGCCGCAGCCGAGGAGGAGGAGGCGGAGGAGCTCGATGACCTGCCGTTTGTCCAGCTGTCTTCAGACATCCTCCAGACGGAGCTGAGTTTGCTCAAGGCCGACGCGCCCCCGGCCGGCGACGACTCGCCTCTCGGCACCACCGCCCTTGAGGACGGAGACGGCGAGGATGGTCGCCTCTCGGGAGGAAGGGAAACCGCTATGCTTACCCGGCCGCCATGAACGGTACGCAGGTGCTCATCATCGTTTTTGGACTACCCGTTGACACGTCTCCAACTGAACTGAACCCAACCGCGTGACGCGATGACGAACACGGCAGCGTTGTACGCGGCCTGCCTCGCCGGGAACGTGACCGAGCAGCTGTGGAACTTCACCTGGCCCGCCGCCATCGCCACGCTGCACCCCAGCCTCCTCCCCGTCGCCGTCCTCGGCTTCTTCTCAAAGGTGCGCCATGGCCATGCTCTGTCACTGGCTCACTGCTTAGCTAGTCCGAACGCAATCGCAATACAAGAAACCAGGCAGCCAGCCACACTCTCTGTGGCAGATTAGCTCTGAGCTCTGACCGACACCGGCGCGCAATCCGATGCGCAGCTCGTGGTGTTCGCGGCGGGCCCGCTGGTGGGGGATCTCGTGAGCTCGCTCCCCCGGATCCCCGCGTACCGATCTCTGACGGTGATCCAGACAGCAGCGCACCTGGTGTCGGCGGCGATGGTCACGTACGCCTTCACCGTCCCTCGAACTTCATCTGCCTCGGCGCTGCTCCTGCAGCCGTGGTTCGCCGCGCTGGTGGCGTCCACGGCCGTCAACCGCCTCTCCTGCGTCTCCCTCGGCGTCATCGCCGAGTGCGACTTTGTCGTCCAGGTACACGCCATTGCCAAAGAGATGTTCAGACCTGAAACCAATTCCGCTCATGAGAATGATGAGATCTCTGACACTGTGGCTGCTGAACTAGCTAGCAGGGGAAGGCAGGCCGATCGCACTGGCGCGGGCGAACGCGGCGCTCAGCAGGGTCGATCTCCTCTGCGAGGTACAATCATCTCCTCCTGATCATCAATGCAGTGCAAGTCGACGTAGCGATCCCCGTGACCCCGTCCGATCATCATCATCATCTCCGTGCTGCGTTTTCTTTCCCGTTTTTGTGTGCAGACGGCGGGGGCGTCCATCTTCGCAGTGCTGCTCTCCAGGAATGACCCGCTGACCTGCGTCAGGCTCTCCTGCGCCATCTCGCTCTGCGCCCTGCCCCTTCTGTTTTTTCTAGGCGGCGCCATGAACCGGCTCGCGGACGGCATCTTCGACCGCTCTGCTAGTGCTAGTCCGGGCCCGCTCGAGCGGTCCGGACGACATGGGAGGAGCACGGCGGTCGGCGAGGCCTGGGAGACCATCAGGCGCGGCTGGACGGAGTACCTCCGGCAGCCCGTCCTCCCGGCGAGCCTCGCCTACGTGCTCGTCTGCTTCAACGTCGCGCTCGCGCCCGGCGCTCTCATGACCACCTTCCTCATCCACCACGGTACGTACACGCCTACACGGTACACCCGCCCGTGCGCGCTGTCCGTCGTCGACTTCATATTCGCAATACACAATATCATCGTGGCGCTTCCTCGCGTTGGCAGGCGCGAGCGCGACGGTGCTCGGCGCGTTCGGCGGCTCGTCGGCGGTGGTGGGGATTCTGGCCACGTTCGTGACTCCATACCTTGTCAAAGAGCTGGGCATTCTCAAGGTCAGCCCAGTAGTATAATAACGCGTTCGATCATGTCAGCTCTGACACCGGTGTGTGTTCTTCGTTCCGTGCACCGTGACAGGCCGGGGCGGCAGGGCTGGTCGCACAGAGCGCGCTCCTCGGCGCGGCGGTCGTGGTCTTCCTCACCGGCCCTGTCTCGCGGCGCGGCGCCCTCTTCGCTTTCCTCGGCTTCATCGTAACGCCACCCATCGACACTCCCTTCTATTCTCATCACGGCGGCATGGAGACCCTGAGCTCGATCGGAGGACGTGAACGTCATGATGGTATGCATGCAATGCAGGTGGCGTCGCGGCTGGGGCACATGGCGTACAGCGTCATCGGGCTGCAGGTGGTGCAGACGGGGAACCCCATGGGGAAGGCCAAGCTGATCGGCGCCACGGAGATCGCGGTGGCCAGCCTCGCCGAGCTCGCCATGATGGCCGTCGCCGCCATCGCCGGGGACGCCGCGCACTTCGGCTGCCTGGCAGTGCTCTCGGCCGCGTCCGTCGCCGCCGCCGCATGCCTGTTCTGCGCGTGGCTGGCCAACCCCACCGACGAGCTCAGGAGGCTCTTCCCATGCTGATATTGATATAGTACTAGGAGGCGCAATTTTTTTTTTGATATTCGTCGATTCGTGCGTAGGTAGCTCCAAATGTGTTGTAGTTTTTTTTAATAATAGAAACAAAAGTTCCGATTTCACCGTTCCTCTGGGAGAAGAATCATACCAATTATTACAAACTCACACTTAAAATAAAATCAGAGTACCAATCCTAATGTCCAAGGCGATAAGAGAAACTCCACTCATGAGAAGCAAACAGAAACATGGCACTAGAGTCTAAAAGCCCGCATGCCTCCACAATGGAAGTCTTGTGCTCATCTAAGCGTTGTAATTGAGTCCAGAATCAAAGCCAATAAGTCCCTCTAAACATTACATACAAAAAAATTTGTTTTGGCTTTTGTTAAAAACGAAATTATTTATTGTGAGCCAGATTGCCCCACACAGGGCCGCTGCTCGTGTCAAAACAAGCAAACTGTGTTTGCAGCGGCCCAATTTTGACCATCCCCAAACAACTGAGATACGCTTGTTGGAGGGGTAATACCAAACACCCAATGAACTGCACGCTAGAGAAAACTAGCATAATGACAATCAAAGAAAAGTTGTTGGATGGTTTCAAGTTTATTAAAAAACAGCAAACTTTACTATCATTCTAATTCCTTCTTGCTAGATTATCCTTTGTTAAAATTATCCCCTTTTCAAGAACCACATGAAGATTTTGTTTTTAGGGGTATCTTCATTTGCCATATCTCCCGCGTGACTTTCAAACCATTGTTGATAAGGAACTTATACATAGAATTCACTCGAAAAGGACCCATTTTTATGTAAACCCCAAACAAACCTATCTAGCATATTGTTTTTTTTTACCGAATCAGCGGGGGAACCGCCTACCTATTTTTTTATTTTCAATTAAATAAAGGAATAGTATGTACAAAGGGTGAAAACAAAAAAGACAAAATTACAAGGCACCTAGGCCCAAAGAGAAAGAGTGCACATGCTACAAATAATTATCTCTCCATAAACTAAGTGCAATTTGTTTGGTCGGCTTGGCTTTGGTACACACAAAACCAAGTTCATTCTTGAACTGTATCTTCCATGCATTGATGTTGATCTGACCACTGTCGAAGATGACTGCATTCCTTGTTATCTAGATGATCCAACAAGCTGTTATGAAAATTTCTCTGAAGATAATGCTATCAAAATCTGCTCTAGCTTGAAGAATCATATCTAAAGGGCTGAGATTCAGGTTCCAGTTGATTGGTATTGTAAGCCAGCAGTCTCTGCTGAAAGCACACTCAAAGAAGAGGTGAAAGCTGGTTTCTTCACAGCCTGAATTGTAGAGGACACATCTGTAATCATCTAGATGCATATTCTTCCTTCTTAGGAGGTTTCTTGTGCTCAATCTATCTCTAAGGAGTAGCCAGAAGAAGAACTTGTGCTTACCTAGATTACTTGAAGCCCATATCCATTTAAAAAGGGGTGATGCTGCAGTTGTACCAATAAGGATGCTGTAGGCCTTCTAACTATTATATTTTGTGGAGCCCCAAGAATAGATCTAGATGTCATCTACATTTTCATCCCAGTATTTGGCTTGCAAGATGTTTTCAACTTCTTGTAATTGATCTGCAGCTTGAATGGATAGTGGCAGGCTAAAAAGCCTAGACATATCCTGATCAAGGAAGAAGTTTATAGAGCACTTTGGTTTCTTACTAAAGGAGTACACCTGAGGGAATCTGTTCTTGAAAGCTTCATCTAACCAGACATCAGACCAGAACATAACTGTGTTAACCTTGTTAGGAATGCAAGAGGCCATAGATTGGTATTTGTCAAAGAGCTTAAGGACATCTTTCCACCAGAAGGAACCAACTGGACTTCTAGCTTGTGGTGGAGTTTGTGTATTAGAGTAGAGTTTACTCCAAGTTAAAGTCACTCAAGGCACATCAACATGCTTGAAGAATTTGTCCAGGAACTTCACCAAAAGAGCATCATTCTGGCTTTTGATGTCTATTATGCCCAATCCTCCCTATGTCTTAGGCTTGCAATCAGTTTCCCAAGCTGCAAGACATGTGCCTCTTCTGTTAATATCACCTTTACTCCACAAACAGTGCTTTATGAAGACATCAATCTATTTGGTGACTTGGGGTGGGAGTTTGAGGTTGCACATGTAGAATGTAGGTAGTGCAGAGAAAACTGACTTGACAAGAATTAGCCTTCCATTGTAAGACAAGAACTTACTGATTCCATACAATCTTTTTTCTATTCTTGTGAGAAGAGGGCTGAACTCAAGTAAGGTAGGCTTGGTGGTGCCAAATGGGAGTCCAAGGTATCTAGCATATTGTTGAGCGTAACATGCACAATGCTAGCAACTAGACTATGTTAATTTTATTCCCACCAAAGCCCTTCTGAAGGACACATTTAGAGGAGCAGTTTGCAAAACCTCAGCTACCGTTGCCTGCTTTTTGCGCACCAAGTTTTATAGGTTTGGATATCGGGTTTTAAATGCCTGGTGTCCCAACCACTTGACTTCCTAGAACCTGATTTAGAGTTCCATTATTTAATCTAAACCAACCTAGGTTTATGAACTGATCTTTGACACCCATAAAGCTAGCCCAAAAATGGGAAACTCCTCCTTTCTTTTCAACTTGGCTCAATGTTTTATTTTTTAGGTATTTGTTTTTAATCAAATCCTTCCACATGCCTTCTTCACTACATAATTAACTTAAACAACCATTTACTCAGCAGACACCTATTTTGCAGCTCTAAATTCATAATTCCCATTTGACTAACCTATACTTCTTTTTTTCCTGATCATATTGCCAAAAAAAGTCTAGATCTGAAGTATTCAATCTTTTTTAAACACCCATAGGGATCTCAAAAAAGACATCATAAACATCGGTAGACTAGATAAAACATAATTTATCAGGTGTAGGATCGAGATGGCGGACTAGGGGGTGAATAGTCATTTCTAAAATTAAACGCGCCGGCTAACCGAAACAAATGCGGAATTAAAACTATCGGTCTAGCCAAAACTACACCCCTCTATCTAAATTCACAAGCACCTTATAAAGATCATAATTAAGGAACTAAGGTGCCGGGCTACCAAGAGCTCACCAAAATAATTCTAGAAGTAAGGTCACACAAACCTATGCAACTAATACTTCAAACAATGGGGAGCTCCTACATAATCTAGTAAACAAAAGCACAAAGCTCCTAAGCTCACTAGCCAAATTAGAGAGCTCAAATTACTTAGCTACACAAACTAAGCAATGTGACTAACAAGGTTACTAAAACCAAATTAGTCACACAAGAGAGCTACTTCTATGCTACACAAGCAAAAGGTAACTAGAAAGCTACACAAGCAAACTAATTACAAGAGCAACTACATAAGCACAATATATGAAAAGTAAGTACAAGCTTGTGTAACGGAGATGCAAACCAACGGGAAGACAAGGATAACACGATAATTTTTATCCCGAGGTTCACGTGCTTGTCAATACGCTAGTTCCCGTTGGGTCAACCGTTCACTTGGTGCTTCGGCGAGCTAATAGGCGTTTCACAAGCCTAGCCCGACAATCGGGCGCCGCAAGAACTCCACAAACCAAGTGAGGGTAACTCAATGACACACTCAACTAGAGTTGCTCTTCGCGGCTCCCGCGGGGTGAGCACAATACCCCTTACAATCACTTCTCCGGAGCACCGCACAATCTTCCTTGCGTGCTTTGACGGAGATCACGCCACCAAGCCGTCTAGGAGGTGACAACCTCCAAGAGTAACAAGCACCACCGGCTTGCAACTTGATCATCTAGTGCCACTCGATGCAACCTCATGATGCAATCACACTAGAATCGCATTCACACTCAATCGGATGATCACTATCAAGCGTATGTGAGTTAGAGGGCTCCCAAACACTCTCTAGCATGGACACAAAGTCCCCTAAGGTGCTCAACCTCAGCCAAGCCTGAGTACCCCATCTATTTATAGCCCCAATGCCAAATAGAATGGATACCTCTTCATTTGGGCTGACTGTGCAATGACCGGACTCTCTACAGGGACGACTGAACGCTCCCAGGCTGCCATGCGTCCCAACCATTTGAAACTAGCCGTTGTCGCCCAATGGCTCCTTCGCACGCGCGCTGATGGCACCTGACCACCAACGCTTGGACGACCGGACTCACCAAGCCACGTGTCCTGTCGCGTAATAGAGAGGTCCAGAGATGAATTTTCGTGACCTGACGCGTCTGGTCATGTATGACCGGACTCGCTGTCGTGTCTGTTCGCTTGCTGTGTGCAGTGTCGGCCGATGAATAGTGTCAGGGCGTGTCCGGTCACGTCCCTAGGCCAGCGTCCGATCAAGCCACACCACTCGCTAGTGGGTCACGAAGCAGATCGGACTCGCGTCCGGTCACACTACCTGCGTCCGATCACTAGGGCCCTCTCTCTCCCATACACTATTCCTCAACAAGAATTTCTTGCTGAGAAATGGGAATCGCTGGTGGAGGGATTTCTCTCTCACTGACAAGCACTAACACCACCAATTGTTCTCCATTTCATGTGCTATTTCTTCTCTAATTTCACCACCTTTGCAAATGTGCTAACACTACCAATTGTTCATCACCATATGCAAGTGTGTTAGCATTTTCATAATCATTTTTAAAGGATTAGTCACTTAATTCACTACGCCACTCGATCCTAACAACGATGCAAAGTTAGATCACTTGAGTGGCACTAGATGACCGATATGCAAACAAGTTTGCCCCTCTTGATAGTATAGCCATCTATCCTAAACTCGGTCATAAACTTCTCTACACTCCTATGACCGGTGAAATGAAATGCCCTATAAATATATCTTTGCCTTGCGCATTCCATTTCATCACCTCCAATGTTGATGCAACACATGCACCAACCAATCACAAATGATATGATTCACTTTATATCATCATGTGACCGTATTGGTTCATCGATCTTGACTTCACTTGCTCTTCACCGTTGCCTTGGTCCATCGGCGCCAAGTCCACACTAGACCTGTC